CTGAGCAGCTAAATTTTCTAATCCTGAAACTGCTCTAACCAGAGTTAGGTGTACCTTCTTATTATAGAGAGACTAGTTAATATAAAAGAGTTAACTTTCCTTTTTGTTCAAGTCAGTTAATTTTTTGATGAATTTTGTTAAAGGCATCTTAATCATTACCCTAAATGATCAGCAATGGCAGGCCATCAGACTTTGTATTCCTCTTAAAGAGGCCACCAGCAAGGTTTTTAACAGGCATGCCAAGGCTTTTCCCTGGATGGTATTTTGAGTACCCCTGATTTAACTGAAGGGGCTTTGTGCTACTTCAGCAAGAACTGAGAGAGCAAAGCCTTCAGTTTTACAAAGAACAAGAAATAAACTGGCCTACCTACAGTTGTGCAGGTTATCAATTGAAAGAAAAAATAAGTCAACCTTTTCAGCATCAGGTCATTAAACCAAAGACTAATACAACCAAAGGTTATCCCATATGGTTCCAGTAAAAAGGAAAAGGCCTATTTACGTTTATAACTAAGAAAAAAGTTATTTTTAAACTGATGCTTAAGAGCAGTTAAGAGACACTTTAGTAGTCCCAAATTCCCAACCAGTACTACAAACAATGGCTTAAAGTCCTTCAGACAACCTTCTCTGAGAGAGAGAGAGAACCCCACAGTGATCTGACACAGAATGTCTTTTTGTATTTGGCTAAAATAAAGAGTCTTGTTTTTCCTAAGCATGGATACAAGACAAACCCATTCCACTGTCTACTAAAGCTTATAGGTATATAAGGGTTTCCTGAGAACTTGCTCTTGCTGATGATAGAATAATACTGGCAACAGTGAGCAAGGCCACATTCTCCTCGAGAAACAAAGCTGATTACAAGAGGCACAGGGCTTCCTTTGTCTCCTGTACTACCTTCTCTCAGCCTCATCAGTTAGTCTCCTTCTCACAGTCTATCCTGGGACTCTGGAGGTAAACAAGCTGTTCAGATACCAACAAATTACAAGGGTGTACTTCTGTGTCATTGTTGCACATTCACAGCAACTTTTCTTATTGAGTTCTAGGTGCTTTATAGCACAACACCCCATATATAAAGATAAAATGTGTTACTGAGTAACACTGACCACTTAACTCTAAATCCCGTATGAATAACTCCATTCTTTCTAAGACTTGGAAAATGTACTGATCTTCACTATGGCCAAGCAAATGCCCTTCTTGTTTAGGACAAGCTGTCAATTGCTTTAAATAAGAAATGAAACTGGTGTCAAAAAGTTCCGGTGTTTTCTGTGCTGACCGGCCATTTTACATATAAAAATTCGTGCTGAGATAATGTAAATCGATAAATTGGAGGCTGAAATTAAGTCCAAATCGGCCGGGTGTGGTGGCTTATGCCTGTAACCCAGCACTCTGGGAAGCTGAGGCAGAAGGATCATTTGAGCCCAGGAGTTTAAGACCAGTCTGAGCAACAGAGCAAGAACAAGTCTCTATAAAAAATTAAAAATAAAGAAGTCCAAATCATTTCATTTAAATTAACCATGCTTCTTACCAATTTTCCTGCTCCTAGTTCCACATACGCTATTCCCACCCCCAAATCCATTCTCCACAATGCAGCTACAGTAGAAATGTTAAAGTGTCACTTCTAACTTAGATCCTATTCAAATGACAAAGTTCAAATTCTAGCTGGGATATTCCACGTAACTCTTCATGATCTGGCCTCTGTCTCCCTTCTGGTCTCTCTTTCACCAGTCTTCATCTGGCTAACTTCTACTCATCCCTTAGGATGATCTTTCCAAGGGTGAATTAGGGACTAGGTTAGCAGCGAGAGGCGACAGTTAAGAGCACTGGCTCTAGGTTCAAATTCTAGCTCTTCTAATTTCTTTTTTTTCTTTTCTATTTTTTTTTTTTTTAGAGACAGAGTCTCGCTCTGTCGTCCAGGCTGAAGTGCAACGGTCACAATCTTGGCTCACTGCAACCTCTGCCTCCCGGGTTCAAGCGATTCTCCTGCCTCAGCCTCTTGAGTAGCTGGGATTATAGGAGCGTGCTACCATGCCCGGCTGATTTTTCTATTTTTAGTAGAGATGGAGTTTCACCATGTTGCCCAGGCTAGTCTCAAACTCCTGACCTCAGGTGATCGGCCTTCCCAAAGTGCTGGGATTTGCAGGCATGAGCCAACGTGCTCAGCCTTCCAATTTCTTTTCTTTTTTTTTGGGGGGGGGAACGAAGTTTCACTCTTGTTGCCCAGGCTGGAGCACAATGGTGCGATCTCGGCTCACTGCAACCTCTGCCTCCCGGGATCAAGCGATTCTCCTGCCTCAGCCTCCCAAGTAGCTGGGATTACAGGTGACCGCCACCACGCCTGGCTAATTTTTGTATATTTAGTAGAGACAGGGTTTCACCATGTTGATCAGGCTGGCCTTAAACTTCTGACCTCAGGTGATCCACCCTCCTCAGCCTCCCAAAGTGCTGGGATTACAGGCATGAGCCACTGTGCCCGGCCCCAGCCTTTCAATTTATAACCCTGTGACTCTGAGTAAGGTTACTCACCTTACTCACTCACCTGTAAAACTAGGTTAACAAAAGCAACTACCATGTAGAGTTATTTTGAGAATAACACAATACTGGTAAAGTCTTTAACATATTAAGAACTTAGTATTAACTATTATTTTTATTACATATCTCATTTTTGAGCTGCCTATATACCTTATCACAGCACTCATGATCCTAAATTATAACTGGCTATCAGTCTCCTCCCACACCTAACAACTGGTTTTCAACTGCTCTCCTTGCCACCCTCCTACCACTACCACCACACATACTAGCGTACCTGAGAGCTACAACTTATTTCTATTAGTAACTGTGGCCCACTCTGGCAAGTGATTCTCAAGGAGTGGTCACCTCTGGTTGAGAATTATTTAGTTCAACTATTGGTTCGTGACTGGGGATGATTTTGCCTCCCAGGAAACATTTGGCAATGTCTGGAGACATTTTTGGTTGTTGTAACAGGAGGGAAACACTACTGGTATCTAGCGGTTAAAAGCTGAGGATGCTGCTAAACATTCCACAATGCAGAGAACAGCCCCTGTAAAATAAAGAATTACGTGGTCTAAATGGCAATTGGTGCCAAGGTGGAGAGTCTGAACTAGATAGTAAGTTCAGGAATTTTATCACTGGCATCAAATACAACATCCGGTAAATTAGAAGCATTTCATAAATGTTGCATGAAAAAAATGAGCTTATTATTGTCATTTGAGATAGAGTCTCACCCTGTCGTCCAGGCTGGAGTGCAGTGGCGTGATCTTGGCTCACTGCAACCTCTGCCTCCTGGTTCAAGCAATTCTCCTGCGTTAGCCTCCCGAGTAGCTGAGATTACAGGTGTCTGCTACCACACCTGGCTAATTTTTGTATATGTAGTAGAGATGAGGTGTCACTATTTTTGCCAGGCTGGTCTCGAACTCCCGACTTCAAGTAATCTGCCTGCCTCAGCCTCCCAAGGTACTGGGATTACAGGCATGAGCCACTGCGCTTGGTGGAAGAAAAATGTAATTCCAGTATATTCTCTAGTAATTTAAGCTACTACAATCCAGTATGTATGGAGACACACAGAAAGTATTCCCTGGTCGGGCACAGTGGCTCACGCCTGTAATGCCAGCACTTTGGGAGGCCAAGGCGAGTGGATCATGAGGTCAGGAGTTTGAGACCAGCCTGGCCAACACAGTGAAATACCGTCTCTTACTAAAAATACAAAAATTAGCCGGGCATGTTGGCAGGACCTGTAATCCCCGCTACACAGAAGCTGAGAAAGGAGAATCACTTGAACCCGGGAGTTGGAGGTTGCAGTGAGCCAAGATTGCGCCACTGCACTCCAGCCTGTGTGACAGAGCTAGACTCCGTCTTGGGGGAAACAAAAAACAACAGAAAGTTATTCCCCACAGGCCTGTTCTATAAAGATCATCAATCATAATATTTCTTTCCTGATGTTTTAACAATAAACACATCATTTACAAAAATCTTTTCTATTTAATCTCTTCTACTGAAATAATGCTGCCCACTACAGGAGCACCAACTAAGAAAACCAAAATGTTTAGTGTTCTTTAACTGAGAAACCTGAAAATGCCACCACCCACACACCCTCTTCTTAGGGCAGCTGAGTAGATGCTGGCACCTGCACGTATGCTTTGAGCTACAATTCATCAATCATTGAAATTCAAATGAGTGCAGAGGTGGAAGGTGGCAGAGTTTCACTAAGAAATGAAAAAATTACAAGGCCAAATATCATTAAGAGAGCTGACATTCTTTTCTACCAATTTATACAGGACACAGCAAGGGCAATACACATAGCCTTGTTCCAAGCACCTCTGTTGCCCCAAATTGCAAAATGTCTTCTATGCTTTTAGATAAACAATAATGAACTTGGAAGAATATTCAAAGGAAACATTAGAAAGTATATCTGAGAAAAAGCTGAAGTCAGTCATCATATGGGATTTAAAAAATGGTCAAAACCTGGAATGCTTCTTTAAGAAGAAAAAAAGCAATCTGCAGACACTAATTAAGACTGACTAAAAAATACTTAACATTTACTATTCTAATTAGTCGTTCTGGGGCACATCTTCCCCATTAGATTGTGAACAGATCTAATTCAACTTTATATTAATAAATCTAGCAAAAATTCAATGCATGGTATGTAGGTGCCTTAATATATTTATTGACTGAACAGATGAACTATATGCAGATATTTTCCCCATACAAATGCCTGTTCTAGTAAGGCCTGTCCTTTTATGTTGTAACTTACTCATTTTGCCTTCCTCTGTATTTAACATCTTAGCAAATCAAATTCAGTGGTACAAGGAATGTTGTGTTCAGATCAAGCATGTCGAATAGCAGATCTCAGTAATGTTTCCATTAAACCAACCACTCCCTATCCCTATCACTACCACTACGACTACCACCACCACCACCACCACCCACCACCAAAAAAGGGACAGAATTCTCATTTCCTGCTTACTTGTAAATTTATCATTCCTTACCTTCTTCAGGGGCAGCTGAAGCTCCTTCAGGTAGTACAGGCTGTAACTCTCCAGTTTCAGAATTATTTTCCGAATCAGTCATCTGCAGTCCTTCCAGATGACCTCCTTTAGCATTAGCCCTCAAAGAAGAAAACAACTTGGTATTTTTATGTAACTAGTGACACAATAATCTGTATTTTCTTTTTGAACTGAGCACCAAACTAAGTAGGGTACGTGCTCTGGTGTTTAATAATAAATTTCAAATTTTGTCTTAAAATATTTCATTAAGGGCCGGGCGCAGTGGCTCATGCCTGTAATCCCAGCACCTTGGGAGGCCAAGGCGGGTGGATCACCTGAGGTAAGAGTTCAAGACCAGCCTGGACAAGATGATGAAGCTCTGTCTCTACTAAAAATACAACAATTAGCCAGGTGTGGTGGTGGGCGCCTGTAATCCCAGCTACTTGGGAGGCTGAGGCAGAGAACTGCTTGAACCCAGGAGGCAGAGGTTGCAGTGAGCCGAGATTGCACTGCTGCACTGCAGCCTGGGCGACAGAGCAAGACTCTGTCTCAAAAAAAATAAATAAAAAATAAAATTAAATAAAAAAATTTCACTTAACATTCACAAAAAAATGTTATGAAATGGTGGATTATATCAATGTTAGTATCCTGGTTGTGATACTGTACTACAGTTTTGCAAAATGTTATTAGGGGAGAAAAGTACACAAGATGTCTCTGCATTATTTCTTACAACTGCATGTGAATCTATAATTAGCTCAATAAAATTTTAACTTATAAATATAAATGGAAGTTTTAAATAATATGTTCTAAGAGGGAAAGACTTTTAAGATATATTATTATTACTATTATTTGAGATGGAGTCTCAGTCGGTCACCCAGGCTAGCGTGTAGTGATGTGATCTCAGCTCACTGCAACCTCTGCCTCCTGGGCTTAAGCGATTCTCCTGCCTCAGCCTTGCAAGTAGCTGGGATTACAGGTGCCCAGCATGACGCCGACAATTTTTGTACTTTGTTTTTAGTAGAGACAGTGTTTTACCATCATGGCCAGGCTGGTCTCGAACTCCTGACCTCAAGTGATCTGACCACCTCAGCCTCCCAAAGTGTTGGGGTTTATAGGTGTGAGCCACGGTGCCTGGCCTGAGAGATATTATTGAATGAGAAATCAAAGTACACCTTTTGTATTAAAAAAGCTACATAGTCACAGTTCCTTAAATATACACAAAAACTGAGAAGACACAGCATACATGAAAAATAAAGAACAGTATGAATGTGTGTGGGGCAATGGGTTGGAAAACTAGGTTGTGGGAGATAAGGATGGGAGACTTTTCACTTATTCTTTTTTCCTTTCATTTTGAAACACTTATCATTAGTATTTAATATTTATTTTTATTTAAAAAATAAACAGAGGCAAGGTCTTGCTATGTTGCCAAGGCTGTTCTCAAATTCCTGGGCTCAGGCAATCCTCCCACCTCAGCCTCCAAAAGTGCTGAGATTACAGGTGTGTGCCACTGTGCCCAGCCTTTCATCAGTATTTAAACTTTTTGCTTACACTACTTTAAATCAGGCAGGGAAAAAAAAGACATGAGCTGGACAGCATCCACATGAACCAGTCTGGCAGATAAAATCAACTGCAAAATGAGGATCATGGCTAAGAGCTGCAGACACTTGTACAGGATTTTACACTCTAGAAAAAAAAAAAACTAAGTTCATGTATATTTAACTGTGATGACTAAAGGCAGATAAAAATATCTCCATAGCAAATACAATATAAAAGCTAGTTGCAGCTTTAATTTGAAGAAATGTATAAAACATCAGGCTAGGTAGTAGGTAGGGAAGACAAGATAATCTCCAGTGATTTTAACATCTTTCTACTACTGAAACTTGAGCCACAAAGGAAAGCTAAACCACCAGCCAATCTTGTAGTTTTGGTAATGAGCCAGACACCTTGACTATATAAAATTAAGTAAACTTAAAGGGTGTTAATCTTTCTCCAATTGAGGTAAAATTCTTTTCAGAGTCTCCAAAATAGAACTATTTCATTGTTTAAATTTAGAAATAGGTTTAATATCCATAAAATAGATAAGCAGATGGATATTAATGGCTCATGATCTGCCACATCCATAGCCAATATCCATAATCACTCTATCTTTTGAATAGATGGAAGTTTAATTGCCATGTCTGGGATTTGAGTTTATGTCTCTTAGGGGAGAGATAAAGGTGTTAACTACTATATATCCTTTTGGAAAATTCCAACTATAAGTTTTGAGGATACTTTGATAAGAGGAGAGAAGAAAGGTGAGATAAAAGCAGAAAAGCAGTGTTAAAGTTGCTGTAAGTGCTTTGTTTCATACAAAATATATATAAATGCCTGTGACATGTAATATAGCCCAACACTAATATTTTTGACAAATGTAGACTGAAAAAAAAAAATAAAAACCAAAAAAAGCTGACAACCTTCCCCC